AATCAAAACATTTAATATTATTAAAACATATGATTATGTATACAACATTATGCTCTTACAGTCTCCCCCCTCTTTGCCAAGGTGAAAGGTATGTTTCATTATTTGCCCCCAGAATATCCAGGATTCAAATTCTTTTTAGAAGAAATCATTTCATCTACATTGTTGTAGTCATCATATAATTTTTTTTTGGATCTGATAATATCAGTGTGCATCAGTTCATATAAACTATCATATGTTTCTTTGAATTTTTCGTGTTCATTAATTCTTTTGCACAATAATATTCTGTTCCATAAAATATTCACCCATTCTTCAGTTGATAGTCCTCTACTTTGTTTCTAGTCCTTTGCAATGACAAAAAAAGCTGCTATGAATATTTTGGTACGTTCAAAATTTGTTACTGCCTTTGGTTTGTGAAACTCAGTGCACATGTATGTGTGTGTGTATGTATGTGTGTATTTGGAGAGGAGGAATCTGGGATGGGGACAGTGAGAGGTCAATACGAGATTTTTTTTTTTTTTGCTGTCTGCATAAGCATTGTACAAGGAAGCAGGAATCTTCATTGCAAATGTGATCACTGTCCATACTGCAGTCTCTTTCCCCAATAAGTCAAGACCTAGTAACATCTTACTGTAAGAGTACTTGAACTTGAAAGAGATTTTTCTTTCTGTAGCACAAACCACAGGAGAACTCACAAGACAGCTGCCTCCCCAGGTGAGACTTCTTAAATGGGAGTTAAGTGCATACATTTTCAAGAAACTAAACTCCCCTCATCTATAATTTAACCTTGGAAAAGAACTGAAATTGAGAGAGTAGAGTGATTACATTGTTTGAGAACTAGTAACTATACCTCCCCCAATCTTACTAATGCCATCGTATATTTTTTTGCTGTGTTTGGCATATTATAATACTACAATTAAGGGAGGGTTAATTATAGTATTGTAATCATATCAAGGTATTTACACATGGTAGTTATGGACTATGGTCTAAAATAGTAAAATTATTCCATTATAGATTGGATGGGCAAGAAGACTGAAATTCAGCCTTACCTCCTAGAGCAAAGCAATAGATGAATAAAGAAATCTCACTTAATCTGAGTATCACTACGCTACTTATTAACTCAGGAACAAGAGAAGGGGTTCACCGAGTGTCCTTAAATCATCTTTAATTGGAGTAAACAAACTAGTCATTTGAATGAGCAGCACTCAGGAAAGTTTTTAATCAGTGGCATTTAGGAATAAACCAACCTAATTGTCATGATTTATTATTAATAATAAGTAACCATATAGTCTGTGTGTGTGGCATCTGTCTCTAGAGAACTCAGTGCATTAGAATTTTAGGTTAAGGGAGCTCATGGTAGCTAGTGGGCAGAACTTTGGGTGCTGGTTTTAACTGGAGAAGAGCATGGTGTTAAGGTTAAGTACTAGGGTAAGCTTATCATTTCTTGTGGTCTACTTCCCAGGCCTGAATCACCAACGTTTGCAGGTTCTTTGTTAAGCATCTGCATTAGCAGGATGGATTTTCAAATCAACCAGTATTTGCTTATGTGTTCATTTTTCTAATTAGTGGTTTCTTACCTAATTCCTGTGAGAACAGAAAAGACTGGTATGAGTCTTATAATCATTAAGACTGATTAGGTTTTTTTTTGGGGGGGGAGAGAGGGCTTTTTCTTCTTAGGAGGAGTGAGGGAAATGTACAAGTGTTTCTATGACTGACATCCTCTGAGGTCCATAAACTCCTAGTATGAAAAAATATAGACAGATCACACAGAAAAAAATGCTTTCACTTTTTTTTTCTTTTTTCTTTTCTTGGTTTATTAACTGTTGAGGCCTGAGTTGGAATGGCTTCTTGAGTTTAGAAAAGTGACATTTTAAAGAGATCTCTTCATGGCCTCCTTCTAGCTTATCTTACCAGACTGACTTCAACATTAGTCCCCTCATGTTCTGTATGTTACAGGCAATCTGGCCTACCTGCACACTTCATGCCTTTGTACAGGCGTCCGTTTCCCACAGCCTCTTGGATTCCTTAGCTCCATTCAGGGAGCACCACCTTCTGCAAGTGTCACCACCTTCTACCTAAAACTTTCCCTGATGCCCACGTTGTCAGTGCTCACATCCTAGGGAAATGAATTTCTCTTTCATTTTGTATTATTAATAATAATAACAATAAATAATAATAAAATATTATTAATAATATTAATAATTAATGATGATGATAATAATGATAACTAACATTTATCTAGTGCTTACTATGTGCCAGGCATTGTGCTAAGGGCTTTATTTGATCCTTTGATCCTTTGAACAACCCCAGGAGTTAGGTGCTATTATTATTCCCATTTTACAGATGAGGAAACTGAGGCAAACAGGTTAAGTGACTTGCCCAGGGCCACACAGCTATGAAGTGTCTGAATCAGGTCTTCCTGACTATAGGCCTAGTACTCTATTCTCTGCACCATCCAGTTGCCCCTAAGCATTAACTTATTTGTGTATGTGTTGTCTTTCCTCAGTAAAATGTAAGTTCCTTAAGATAAAGGACTTTTTCATTTTTGTCTTTGTATTGCCAGTATATATAGTATGTGCTTAGTAAATCCCTATTGGATAAATAAATGAGTGAAAGCATCTTTGTATATAGAAAAGGGCTGAATGTTCATAGAGACAGTGTGGCGTAGTGAAAAGAGCCATTTCTTTGTGAGCCAGTCACATCTTCATCTGTGAAATGTAAATTGAGTCATGTAAATTAATTAAGGTAAGTCATGTGTAGAATGTTTGCATTATTTATACTGACAGTCATCTAAATTTTAAAAGTGTAAAAGATAGCTCAAGTTGAATTATTGTTCTGTGAGTAGATCTTTTCAGTTCCCAGACTGAGCAAGTTTTTTGGATATCAGAGATAGATTAATGGCACTGTTTTGTGGATATGCCAGTTCATGGCTAAAGAGAAAATATCCAGAAGAAAAAAAGAGGGAATAAGGTCCCAGTATCCCTGACTGAATATTTATATCTTTTTTTCCCACTGATACCTTCAAACTCTAAGGCAAATCCTTAGATTTCAAAGGGAGGTTTCCATAGGAAAAATAATAGAGAAAGATTGGGTGAATCTCTATGAAGAATTTTGGGAGGGAGTAGGCAGAGACTGATAGGCTGTGATCCACATTAGTGGAGGGAATACTTATGAGATAATAGATTCATTGGAATTTTGTTTTGGGGTCAAAAGGAGATAAAGATTCTGTGACTAATGAAAAGATCTATTTGACAGTTGAATAATTTACCTCATTTTGCTAACGTTAACATGTTTCATTGTGTTCTTCCAAATTTATTAAAAGATAATGCAAAATGTCAAAATTGGACTTTGTTCACAGGGAAATCTCCTCCCTCTCCAAACTTATAGTTTCATTAAGATCAAATAAATATTGTCTTTGGGCTCCGTCAACACTAACATGTTTTATGGTCTCTCTGGACCTCAATATTTTCTATAAAATGAGGTAGTTGGACTAAATCAGTGGTGTGAAACCAAATAGAAATGGTTCCCTATAGCCATGATATTGACTTTAAAATCCCACAAATTAACATTATTTCTGTTCAATTTTATTTTTATTTATTTTGTTAAACTCTTCCCAGTTATATTTTAATCTGGTTTAGGCTACATTTGACACCATTGAACTAGATGACTGCTAAAGTAATTTTCAAATCTCACATGGTATGTATTTTTTTCTGTGCTAATATTTGTTCCCTCCGTAATAGAAATTTACAACTTCAGGGGACCCATGGGGTCATATACTACTGTACGCCTGTGACCCATTAGAATCTGCTAGTCCCCCAACTGGAAGGAAGAGGAGAAAAATAATGAAAGAGGTGGGGAAAAGAAAGGATTAGGGTAGAGATAGAGTTTAAATCAGTGTTTTCCTTATAACCAATCCTTCTTCCTCCTGTCTTAGTAATTGTTATCAACCAAGGGAGAATAACATCTCTTAGTCACTATGTGCAAGCAGGATGTCATATATGCAGTATTTAATTGTTTTTGGTTAGAGAACGTACATGAAGAGAATTTTCCTCTGCCAGTGTTGGGACCCTTTGATGGCCTTTACTAAATAGGATCATAGATCTTTGTGTCATGATCTAGAACAGGTGTTTTTTTTTTTTTTAATCTTTGTGTCATGGGCATTTTTTGCAGTTTTGTAACCTACTTTTTGGTAACCCCTTTTCAGACTAATGTTTTTAAATGCATAAAATATGTAGGATGGCAAAGGAAATCAATTATACTGAAATGCAGTTATCAAAATATATCTAAAAATCCATAGACCTCTAGCCTAGAATATTTAGTCCAGCACCTCAGTTTTATAAATGAGGAAACTTGGACCCAGAGAGGTTTAGTAACTTGGCTGAGGTCACATAGATATTAGGTGGAATTTGAATTAGAACCCAGCTCTTGTGACTCTAGATGCAGCATTTTTTTCATTGAATTCAGGGCTCAATGTTTGAGGGCAAAATCAAGTAGGATAATGCCTACATTCTTATCATTTTTTTTTAAATGATGTCATTTGATTGGACCAAATAAACTTATTGGAAATAGGTAGAGGAGAGTCCACTGGAAAATAAGGGGAGAAGAGTAAGGAGAGAATAAACTTGAATATTTGAAAAATGGTAGCATGGAAGCTGGAGGGTTGGGTGTAAATGTTTATGGAAGCTCGGGGGCTGGTAAAGCCAGAGATAGCCATAGCTTGAAATGGAGGAAAAAAAAAATCTTTCTTGACTGTTGACAGAGAGTCTTCAATAGAGAATTTGGTACTGAGACACTGTGGGTTTATGCATGGATTATAATGTGAGAGGAATTAGGAGGGATATTTTGTTCATGAATATTAAATGCAGAACTTGAATCTTCAGTCTCACACACTATTTATACTCTTTATTTTGCTTTTGTTTGCTAATGATCTCTCTCTCTGTCTCTTTCTCTGTCTCTGTCTCTGTCTCTCTGTCTCTGTCTCTGTCTCTCCTCTCACCCTGCAGATGTTTTCCAGCAAGGTAAGTTCCTATTGGCATCTTTGCATAAGCTCTCACTGCTTATGTCATTGACTCTTGGCCCCAAGGAGGGGGCATGGAGGGTCTGCTTGTGCAGGAGGGAGCCTGGCTGACTTCTTTGTGGAGATGTAGAGGAGGGGAAGGAGGAGGCCAAAATGAACCATGGGGTTAAATTCAAGTGGGAAGAGGAGGAACTCAGCTGCTGCTCTTGGAGGCCTCCTCATGGATTCATGTATATCTTTGTGTCCATGCCTTTGGGAGAGAGAGACATTAATGAATGAACAAACAAATGAATGAATGAATGCCAAATCTAGTTCCCGTATTTCCAGGGCTAACATAGAAGATAGTATCAGGAAGAAACTGAAATAATGATGGTAACATTAAAGTCCTTCCCATTACTACTGCTAAGGGTTTGTGAACCTGATAAGTCATTGAAGAAACCGATGAAAGAGAATGTGTTTACTGACTTCCATGGAGCATCCCCAACGTGTTGGAATATATCTTTTGTGGAACATTTTTATTTGAAATGTGTGATAGTCCTAATTCTTGAGGCACATTGAAGTGCCTCAGTGTAATATATAAATTTATCAGGCGTTGCTCACAGGCCCTTCAGAGGAACACAAGATATTATTTATATTAGGGCTAGACTTTGTACTGATCCCATGGAAGAAGGTAGTTGCTGAGGTATATTTACGTGAGTGCATCTATAGCTTAGTTTTTTACCTGGCTCAAGGATGCCGACTGCTGACCTTAATATAATTTCAGTTTCCATCTAATAAGTAACTATATAATAGGCTGTAATGGGTGGAGATGAGAAAAGTAGACCAAAACAGGTTGCCTAAAAAAGTTGGTTGGCCATTAGCAACTGGTTCCACATTTATCTAGTTCCACATTAATATTTGTAGTCAGTGTGATTTTTGTTGCTGTTTGCAGTATTATTTTGCTAGTTTCCCACATACTAGTTGATAGGCATAATTTTTGTGGTATACTTCACATTTGTCAGAGTATTCAAGCTTGGAAATATGTTTTCTAGCATCTGACTGGCTGGATCGTTCTAGACTGCAGAGACAAATTTACACACACACACACACACACACACACACACACACACACACACGGGTAAACGTGTATGTACATATATATAGGTTTGTGTATGTGTGTGTATATATGCATGGGTAGATGTATAAGCCATTGATATATAAGCCAGATTGATATATATAAGCCAGATAAGCCATTGAAGCAGCCTTCTATAAGAAAGAGTGAATGAGAGGCAGCTAGGTGGTGCATTGGATAGAGCACCGGCCCTGGAGTCAGGAAGACCTGAGTTCAAATGTAACCTCAGACACTTGACACTTAGTAGCTGTGTGACCCTGGATAAGTCATTTAACCCTGATTGCCTTGGGGGGAAAAAAGAAGAAAGAATGAATGACTTCATGGAGCTTCCCTAGTGTGTCGGGATATATCTTTTGTAGAGTATGTGTACATGTGTGTGTGTATGGGTGTGTGTGTAGTGTAGTATACTTCAAAATTGTCAGGGTATTCAAGCTAGGAAATATGTTTTTTAGCATCTGATTAAATCATTCTAGACTACAGAGACAGGTTTGTTTATATATATGTATGTATATATCATAAACATGCATACATATATACACACATACACATGTATATGTGTGCTCCTCCTCATATATTCCACAAATAGATTCCAAATACTGCTATAGGGTTGAAATTTTTACAAACATTATTCCGTCTTAAACTTACAATGTGTTACCAAAGATTTCTTTGATATCTTCTATAGAAGTATAATTGTGGGTAACAATGACTATATTATTGTGTTTTTCTTTTAAGAGTCTAGAGTCATAGACCTATTTTATAAATAATTCATAAATCCCAACAAGCTGTAAGTAATAAATTCCATTTGGCAAGAGACTAAGAGATGAGCAGAATTGAGAAGGTGCCGCTACCGTTCTTTGTAATGAACGTGTTGCTGTCAAGCCGTGTTGTTCTTGCTAGCCTCTTTCACTGACAAATGGGATGTGTGTGTGTGTGTGTGTGTGTGTGTGTAGGGGGTCAGTGGGAAGCTTGAGATTGAAAGTAGTTTTTAAAAATAAATTATCGGTGAGCACCACCCAAAGTTCAATCACATTTCTCCTCCTGAAATGTGAAGCACTTGCATGTGGAAAGTCTTCCCCGATGCAAAGCATCGTGCCCGGTTTTTCCTGGAGAATGATTAGGAAAGTGTGCAACATCAAACAGGCCTGGTGCATACCATTTTTAAGCACAAAGGAGACATTTCACTTTTTGTTACAACCACTGTAAAAATGGCTTGCCATACTTCTCATGTCAAATGTGCCTTTTTTAATCACGTAGGCTGTTCTATGGATAGGATTTGCCCGTCAGTAGCAATGACATGTAGAAGAAAAGTTATAATCATCTGCAAATCCCTAGCTATCAGAGGCTTAAGAGTGTGTGCTAGTGGTGGGAGCTGCTAACCGCCCATTGGCACACATTATGATATGATAGCAGTTCCCTGATAAGAAGGTATTATTAGGATTACAAATGCAAAGAACAGAGCTCAACATTTTAAATAATTTACACTGTCGTGGCATTACGTGATCATTACATACAGACACATGAAATTATGCCGGGGACCTTGTCAGAGCCCCAGAAACAACCTCTGTTTCTGGTCACCCCCTTGTTAAAATAGCACTACCAAGAAGTGTCAGCCTATGACAGCAGCCAAGACAAAATGTTTTATTTCTAATGTTACAAGATCTAAAATGCCATCGAAGCACTGCACACCACCTAGTTAGATTGTTTCTTAGAAAAACCTTGTCCCTGAAATAGCAGAGATACTGGAAATACTAGAGCTCTGAATATTGTGGGAAATAAAAAGGAGAAAGTGCTGTCCAGTACTGTCTTCCTCATTGCTGTCCCCACCCCTGGTGGCCCAACTATAATGAGTAACTCTATCTGGGTATGCCATAAGGACTGCCTAGTTTATATACTGTTATACTGCATGCCTGGCTTTGTTTGTTGTGGCTGATGGAGCGAGTGGAAAGACGACGGAGGGGAGGGTTTGCAAATGTTTGCTCCTGGTGTTGAAGGTGGTCAGTTTGTACTTCATGTCTTTGCTTATATAGGAGTCTTTCTGTGATTAGGCAGCTGTGTGCTGTGGCAGACAGAAGAGGGAAAGTTGGGTTTCAGTTGACAACATCAGACATTCTCAGAGGAAACAAAAGTTATTTCCTCTGTATTGCATTATCTTTTATTTCACTACAAATCAATCTTGTTACAGTAGGTGACAGCACTGGGGTTGCTTCTGGGTATTTCTGTTTGTGTGTACGTGGGGTGTGTGTGTGTGTGTGTATGTATGTGTAGGTGTGTGTGTCCATGTAACTATTCTCAGCTTTTCCCACATGCTTTCAACCTTAAGTACCATTTTCCATAGTACCATGAGAAGAGATGTTTGCTAAAGAGGAGGTGGTAATTTCTGGATATTGGTACAATTAAGTACCAGAAGAACCAGACCTGTGGATTTTTCAAAAAGGGTATAAAAAAAATTCCTGGGATGCTGGGGATGTATTTTTTTATTTCATCTCTACATGCCCACAAAGCTCATGAGACACTGAAAGGCATGAGGTCCAGAAAACACCAGATGCAATTGACTGGCCCATTCGTATGGGCATTTAGAATCCAGATTTTCAGAGCACATTTGTACCAACTATTTGCTAATGATGGCATCATTGCCATCATCATAATCAGGCTTCATTTTAAATCACTGAAGTAGCTTTATAGTGCTTGTCCAAGCCTAGATTTGATTCTAGGAGACCCTAGAATTCAAACAGAAACAAACAAACAAACTAGTTGCCAGGACATTTGTGTGTGTGTGTATATGTGTTTGTTGGAGTAGGAGTAGTGGTAATGGTGCTGGTGGTAGTGGTAATAAGTAGTAGTAGTAGTAGTAGTAGTAGTAGTAGTAGTAGTAGTAGTAGTAGTAGTAGTTACTTAATCAATGTTTGTTGAATTGAATCGCATCTGTTTTTCATTTTAAAGTCTAGTTGGGAAACTTTACTTCTTACCTGCATGTAGCATAAGGGTTTCAGGCGTCATTGGACAAATTACCATTTAGGTCAGTTTTCCCATTTAAGCAAAGACAGTACAAAAACCAGGAGGAGTCCCTTCCTCACAACTGGTGTTTTGTATTCTAAAGAGAATGATTCTTTTGTCAGTGACGCTTGTCTAGCTTTTGCAGATGGGATGGGAAAGGGTCATGGTTGTGTTCAGTGCTGTAAGTCTGGGAGACCACTGAGCTGATCCTCTCTTTGGGTTATAACTCTAGACAGAGACACTTGTCTTTGATTCCCATCCTGCCTCAGATTAATTCTACTACTCAGAAGCGTAGCGGGAGGAGACTCTCTTTGAACTCTGTAGGAGCTGTCTCCTTAACTTAACACCTCCCTTTCCTGAAAATTGAAAAATCATCCTAATTAAATCGTTAAGATATTTGTATCTATATATAATGTGTGTTTTTAGACTGTTTCTCATCTCATTGCAACTAATTATCAAAGCATTCAGCTAGAAGTCAACATTATGGTCCCTACTTTGTATATAGAGCACTGTTGGTATTACATAATGCACAGTTTCTGATGTCCTGTAACTTAATTTAGTAGTAGAGTTTGACATGTACATAAATAAGTATATGAGAAAACAGGCAAAGTATACAGGGATACGAAGGGGCAGTTAGGTGGTGCAGTGGACCAAGCCTGGAGCCAGGAAGAGCTGAGTTCAGTGTGGCCTTAGACGCTTACTAGCTGTGTGACCCTAGGTGTGTCACTTAACTCCATTTGACTCAATTCCTCATCTTTAAAATGGGAACACATTAGAGAAGAAAATGGCAAACCACTCCAGTGTCTTTGGCAAGGAAACCCCATGGACTTTTATGGGATCATGTAGAGTCAGATACAATTGAACAATAACAGGCAAAGTACTTAAGAGATATGCAA